TGAGGATTAAGCGGTTTATAGATAGTGGATGGATGGGTGGATGGTTAGTACTGAATTCAGGTCCTTGCCCTAAGTCTCTGGAAACAATCTCACGTGTTGTCTTTGTACCAAAACTGATACAAAATGTGACATTGCAACAATAAATCTGACTACAATGAGTGTAAATGTGACTCATTGTGGGTTGAAATTCAAATTCACCTAGCTTGTTTAAGCCATGTTTATGTCACACTAGCTTAAAATGTTTTACACTGCACTGGCCTTACATGTAATACAATATTGTATATATCTGGATACTTCAATTTACAGTGGGACAGTTATTTGTAAGTGAACAAGCACAGAATTCCCTCTTATGCATAATCAAAACAGAGTATTGTCTCCATTTTAAACCTGTGTCTGTCTGGATGCCTGCATCATGGCTCCGCATGAAAAAGAATTGCGAGAGGATCTAAAAAATCAGAATGGAAAATTTTAAAGGAATATTGGTAATACAGTGTAGTGAATATTGCAAAGTACAATCTTTGGTAAGATGTGACAATTTTGTTTGGTTCAGTTGATGTTTGATGTGAACCTGACCAGGACTACCACAGTGAATGCATAGACCCGACAATGAAGTGCAGACATGGTGGTGGGATGATGCATGAGGGGTTGGGGAGATGACATTTACAGGATGGCACCTTCAGTGCCTCTGGAGATACCAAAATAAAGACTGACACAATGACTCCCCTTAAAAACACAATGCCAGAATCCCAGCAGAGCTTCTATAGAAGAAAAAAGTGGCAGCTGTGACGGTCGAGTGTGTCATCTGACTCGTATCTAACCAAACACTTTTCCTGATTATCTAGCTATAAAGGTTGCTACTTATCATGTTTTGTTGTGTTAGCACCCTCTAACTGTAATAATAATTAGGACAAGGAACAAATGAGTAAGTCAGGTGATGTAGTTTTGGACCACAGGAGGAGGTCAGGGTGGATGGATGGGACCATGTTAACGGTATTGTTTCTTTTAACTGTGACTATTCCGGAAGCTGAACCTCATGTTCGTTTTTGTAACCTTGATGAGTTTGTTTTTTTAAACTGTAACTCAAACCCTTTCAACCTAACAGAGCATACAGAGGTGAAACATATCCGTGTCACATTTCCTGGTGCTGGTGGGCATTCTGATTCAGAAACTCCTATAGTTCCTGTTAGGGGGTAAGAACAAATGATTGCTCTGGGTGGTAGACTTGAAATTACTTTAAAATGTGAAGCTTGGCTATTTTTGCAATGAAATACGGTGCACAATGTGGAGAGAGTGGGAGCTACACTTGGCAACGAAAGACACCATGTATAACCTCCAACCTTATTTTTCCCCTCCCCATTAAAGGTTGTCTTTTTTTTTATTGTTCCCGCTGTCACCAACTGCTTGCTCATAGGAAACCCTAAGGGAACTTTGGATAGCTGGGGTCTCTGTTCATAAGGTGAGGTGCTATGAGATGACACATGTTGTGAATTGGTGGTATATAAATAAAACTGAATTAAAGTGAATAATCCAAAGGTAAGTAAAACCTGTAACCACTCACAGGCTTTGCATTAAAGGACTAAAAAACAATATTTACATGTGTGAAAATAGTTAACAACATGTATTGCGGTTGGATCTG